CAGAAATCATTGTTTGTCATGCCTGGTAGAATGATCGATCTTCTCGCCGCAAATGCTGGGCGGGTAACTAATTTACGACGAGTTACATATGTGGTGCTGGACGAAGCGGATAGAATGTTCGATATGGGCTTCGAACCTCAAGTGATGAGAATCCTGGGAAATGTTCGGCCACAACGACAAACTGTTTTATTCTCGGCCACGTTCCCCCGTAACATGGAAGCCCTTGCGCGGAAAACGTTAGCAAAGCCCGTAGAAATTATTGTTGGTGGAAAGAGTGTTGTTGCACCGGAAATTACACAGATTGTGGAAGTACGCAACCAAGATACTAAATTTGTTCGACTTTTAGCTCTCCTGGGTGAGCTCTATGCAGATGACAAAAACGAGGATGCGCGCGCATTGATATTTGTCGATCGACAGGAAGCTGCCGATGGCCTGCTCCGAGACTTGATGCATAAGGGCTATCCCTGCATGTCCATCCACGGAGGTAAAGATCAAGTTGATCGCGACTCTACAATCGACGACTTCAAGGCCGGTGTGTTCCCTATACTCATTGCTACTTCCGTTGCAGCTCGTGGTCTGGATGTAAAACAGTTAAAACTCGTCGTTAACTACGATGCACCCAACCATCTTGAGGATTACGTTCACCGGGCCGGTCGTACTGGGCGCGCCGGCAACACTGGAACCGCCGTGACGTTTTTGACTGAAGACCAAGAGAGATATTCGGTGGACATCTCCAAAGCATTGAAACAGAGCGGGCAACCGGTTCCAGAACCAGTACAGAAACTGGTGAATTCGTTCATGGAAAAAGTTAAAGCGGGCAAAGAGAAGGCTAGTGGTTCTGGGTTTGGCGGCAAAGGACTGGAGCGTCTCGACCAGGAACGTGATGCCGCTCGCAATCGAGAAAGGAAAACATATAAAACCGGCGAAGAAGGTGAAGAGGAAGAGAGGGAGGAAAAGAAAGACAAGAAGGACGACCTATTTTCCAAAGCAGCCTCTGCTGTCCAAGCCACGGCAACGCCGGCACCAACACCAGGCGTGCCTAAGAGCATCGACCTCGATGGCAAGATTACTGTCCACAAGACGGAGAAACCTACTCCTACTTCGACTTCGACGAATAATCCTCTTGACAAAGTTGGCTCTGCGGTGGCTGATATCCATGCCCGGTTGAACAAGGCTGGCGTGATGAGGTCTGGCGTCCCTATTGATAATAAGGGTCCTGACGCCGGAGCATTCCACGCCACCCTGGAAATCAACGATTTCCCACGTAAGCACACTCTCCTTATTTTTATTCAATACATGTTCATTTTGTGCTTCGCTTTTCATGTTTAATATCTATCAATATGCGGAACAAAACTAACACAAACCGTCAACTACAGAGAAAGCCAGATGGGCGGTCACCAACCGTACCAACGTTGCCAAAATCCTCGAGGCCACGGGCACGTCCATTACGACCAAGGGCAGCTTTTATCCTGCAGGCAAAGAACCACAGCCAGGTGAAAATCCGAAACTCTACATCCTTGTTGAAGGGGACACGGAATTGGTTGTTACCAATGCAAATGCGGGAACTCATGCGGCTGTTGAAGGAGGGAACCCTTGCTGCCGCGGACAGCGAATCTCGAGCCCCAACAACCGGCAGATATAATGTCGTATAGAAAAGCGTGGCAGTCCAGGTTCTTTACGTGGTATCTGCGTCTAACTTTCTTATCTTTATTTTCAATAATTGTTTTTCTCTTCTCTTCTTTTCTCTTCTCTCTCTATTTTTTTTCATGTTTTATTGTTTTCCTTTCGTCCCTATTGCTACGGTCCTGGAACTAACTCTATTTGGGCAACTTCTTTTTGATCATTTGTACAGTATAGTTATATCATTAAGCCGGGGACCATGTTGTTCCTTTTCCCATCATTTGGCGAACTTTATTTATTACTTACAAGGCCTAGGCTTCTTTCTTCAAAAGGGAGGGGAGGGAGGGGAGGGAGGGGAGGGAGGGGGAAGAGCGGGTGGAAAAGAGAAATGCTAAATCCCTTTGTTTTACTCTCCTCACCCATCTCGATGTTCGTTCGAGTTCTTTTTTTCCGGCTCCTTGATCCAAGGATTATCCTAAAAATAAGCATCGATCCAAGCGTGGAACAAAAGGCCCTGCGTACACTGAGAAAAAAGGGGAATGGGAACTCAATGACTATAAATTCCACCCTTGATGGGGAAGCCGTTCAATGGTATTAATTAGGGGTAGACAGGTTGTTGTTTGGGTTTGGATATATCACGGTCAACATTGGGTCAGATAGCGGATAGAGTTTTGGCCCCCCAACCCATTTTGCCTATCTTTCTTTCTTCCTTTAGGACCTCCAGCGTGAAGCCTGTATACTTATAGTTTTCCCCCCTGTATATCCTAGGCACATTCCCAAGGATGGAATGTGTTCACCCCGACCGATTCACTCATTGCCAGCCATGGAAAGGGGGGTTGGGGTTGGGGAAAAACAAAAAAAAAAGTACCTGGAGGAAAATAGTAGCTGGTTGAGTTAGCTCGTTAAGGTGATTCTAACAAACGATGAGGAACAGTTGTTGTTCTACCCATAAAACCGGCGTTCAAAACTAGAATCTGTGTATTGACCGTACTAAAAGGGATGTACTTGCGCACAGGCTACTTACTATGTATAGCGAGGAAAGCGAGGGAAAAAAGGGAAACGATTCAGACGTCCAAAGAAAGAGGGGAAAAGTACCCCGCAACAGGCTTACCTAGGTACAGTACAAGACGTGTGTCCACAGTAGTTACAAGCCAGAGAGAGAGAGAAGCACAGTTCCTACGGAAATCCGGGAAAAAAAAGAAAAAACGCCGTCCCTATGGTCAACAGCCAGAAGAGGAAGGTAAAAAATGAACATGTACCCAAAGGAGAAGAACAGAAGGACGAAAGATGTCCATGGCACGGCTCTGTTCTGGAAACCGAACAAACATCGAAGAGATCCAATCCAGTCACCTCCCTCGCGCATCTTGCATCTCAACAGTCCAACTTAAAAGAAAGAAAGAAAAAAAAAAAAAAGCCTGGGACCAAAAGATAACGTTCTCAGTCCCACCTCCTCACAGTAGCAGCCGCATCAGCCTCTCTCGTGGCACGGTTATGGCGACTCGCTTCATCGAGGGTCTCGCTTCGAGTCTGCGCTTTCTGCGCGGCGAGCTGCGAGCTGAGTTTGCCCTTCTTTGCAGCCGATGATTGTCTCGCGGCTCGTTCCTAGAACCGAGAAAAGGTTTTTTTTTTAGTTTACTTGATTTATTCTTTTATTCTTTGTGGGTAATTTTTATTTTTTATTATTTTTTTTTAATATCTTCATTTTATTTATTTTATTTCTAATTGTTTTTTTCTATGGGTTTTTTTTTTTTTTTTTTTTTTTTTTTTTTTTTTTTTTAAATTTTGTAGAAAGAAAAATTGCTTAACCTGTAGTTGCCAACTTACCTCTGCAGCACGCGCTGCCGCATTCCGCGGGTCATCCTTCCCTTGACCCGGGCTGTGGGCACCGCCAAGAGTTCTCCCTGTACTGGCCGACAGCGATGCACGGGGTGCCTGGGGAGGGGGATGAGGGCTTGTCCCGAGTACACGGCCTGGCTGTGCAAATGGTTCAGATGGATTGGCGCTCTTGGAGCAGAGGCTTCCCATGACTGCTTCCTCTGTGTGAGAGAGAGAGGAGGTAATGGGGGAGGAGGGAGTTTTTTATTGGTGGAGCCGAAAGAGCCGAGCCGAGCGAGAAATTGAGCTCCACGCGCTACTTTTTACGATGGCCCCTGGGCTGTTTCGCTCTTCTCGCACCAATAAAGTTGCGATTGCGATCCAGGGCCAGCCAGGCAGCACGGCTGGGGAGGCGTTGGGGAGAAAGGGACGGGCCGGGAGGGCAACGAGCGGGGATGCAAGTCGATGACGATTTGCGGCGAGCCGCGAAACCAGCGAATCCCAACCCTTGGTGATCGAGCGCTGGTGGTTAAACTAGGTATCCTGAGGCTCTGCTGGAGTTGGCCCTGATGCAGCAAACCACGGCGCAGCGAAGGCCTAGCCCCTGCCCACAAGGAACGGAGCTGATTGGCCACTGTCGCTAGCCGAGGGCCTATCGAGTCACGTGGTCAGAGGGGCTGGTGCATGCAGTTGCCGAGGTAAAAGGTGCGTATTCGTATTCGTATACGCGGTTCCCTTTTTTTGCAGCACAGTCTAGTAAGGCTAGTAAGGCTCAGCGTTTGTTAGCCACAGGTGGGCAACAGCCGCGGGCTGACTAATCGCCGTTGTCACCGTGCTCGCCGTGCGTGGCTGGAACAGGCGCGCAAGTCCACCAATCAGCAGCCGGGCCAAGCCGGGCCCCCGCCTTGGTCAGCGATTATGTAACTAGCGCGCCGGCTCTGCGTCGCCCAAGGTCCCCAGCGCCCTGGTGCAAGGCTCTTGACAACCACGGGGCGCGGATATTTTCCTGGCCAGCTTCCCCACGGCTCCATCTCGTCGCCGTTTACCGGGTCCTTGGGGGTCTGGTTGTCTCGTCCCCCTCCAGTTTCCTTACTTCCGACCCCCGGCCGCCGTCCCCTTTCTGAACCAGCATCGAACTCCAGGCGGTAGCTGAGAGAGCATTTAAAACGGTGCCACTGGGGAGTTTTCAAGATGGCAGAGAAACGCCTGCCGCTTGCTCCTGTCTCCATGGACCTCTCTCTGTCTCTGTGTGGAGGTACCTTGTCACCAACCGAGTATTGCTCAGCATATCCTTCATGCCACGAAACCGTCGAGTCCTGCTGCGACGAGGATACCTGTTCTGCTGAGTGTTCGTCTGTCTGTGACGGTTTGGTGGCCTGTGATGCCTCCACCATCTGCTCGGAAATGCTCTGCGACTCCCAGGACTGCCAGAATACCACCCCGGTTTGCTTTGACCAGAACTGCATCGGTGACGGCACGGTGACTGTTGTTGACGACGGCATATGCGACATGCTCAATCCAAACAGTTCTTTCAGCTGGAATTCGGAAGGCTTTCTGGATTCTGAGAACACTACAGCCCCCGTTCATCATCATCCCTTTCACCACCCCCCCCACGACACTCCAGCTAGCGTTTGTCCCAGTATGCACTCCGTCGGGCCCCTTCCCCCGTCCGAACCATCTTTGGTTGCCAAAAACTATGCCTTCCAATATCACCAAGACCAGTCCTGCTCCTCCTTACCGCAAGCTACTTTAACTGAATCGTCAAACTCGCCGGGTTCAGATATCGACCACACAATCAACTTGTGTTCGACCCTCGATAACTGCAACCATGAGTCTCACTTCGGGCCCGTCTTCTCAGACTGCAATCCAGATGAATTCCTGGGGTTTATCCCCATGGAATTCCATGAGCAATTCCATTCCATTTATTCCCAGTTATATCCCCGGTTTGACGGCGGCTTGATGCTGCCATGCGAATTGCAACCCGAACATGTGCACAAGAATACGTCACGCTCCCTACAGCCTCCCCACCGTCCTCCATCGTCAAGCGTATGTTCTGCCCACTCGACTTCGTGCCCATCTTTGACGCCGCCGTTACAAGGCAGCGATATCGCCACTCCTCTCGCTACGCCCCTCGCTACCCCTCTCGCAACGCCCCTCACAACGCCCCTCACAACGCCCCTCACAAGCCCCGACGTCGAACAAACGAATGAGTTGTATATCTGCAAGTGTATTATAAAGACTGAACCCCACAATACCACCTGTGGAGCTAGCTTTCTCGAGGCCAGCAAACTCCAAGAGCATTTAATCCATGCCCATGTTGGCGCTATTGAAGGCCCCCAGGGACATGGCTTCTATTGCTGCTGGGAAGGTTGCCATCGCCCCAATGAGCCGTTTTCGCAAAAGTCAAAACTTCAAGGACACTTCCTGACACATAGTAATCGTACGCTTCCCTTCTACTCTTCGTAACTGTACTTGTGCCCTGTGAGTATGAAATAACCGTCTCTCTGAGATTTTAGACAAAGGCTTCCAATGCTCCACGTGCGCGAAATGCTTTGCGAGGCAGGCAACGCTGGAGCGCCACGAGAGAAGTCATCGCGGGGAAAAGCCTTACGTCTGCAAGTTGTGTCAGAAGGCGTTTACAGATAGTAGCGAGCTGAGTAAGTGTTCGAAAAATTCTTCTCTTTTGAGTTGCCGCCTTCTAATCATAAATAGAAACGCACATGCGAATTCATACCGGCGAAAAACCATTTAAATGCAATTTTCCGGGTTGTTCTTTTGAGACTGGAGATGTATGCAACAACCTTAAAAATATCTATGATTTGCTTTTCGATATGCTGACATTGGCAAATGCAGTCATCAAATATGTCCAGCCACAAACTCAGTAGGTGACCCCACATCCTCGAGCTTTATTCATGGTTTTTTTTTTTTTTTTTTTTTTTTTTTTTTCATACGCTAACGCCTTTGCTCAGCCCATGGAGTCCGAAAGCACAAGTGTAACTTCCCCGGTTGTTCGAAGAGTTTCACACGGCCAGGTAAGCTCTAGTATCCTAACATAATACTGCGCTACTCCACAGCAGTTGGTAGGGGAAAATATACAAACAGAATCCTAACGAATGTTATATAAATACAGACCAGCTGAAAAGACACATGAAAACGACCCATAAAGTAAACGCCAACTCATCCGTCTCTGTTTCACCACCTGCTGTTAGACATTTTCCCCTAGCCCAATTCCAACCACCCTCCGCGCGCTCACCATTCTCCTTCCCCTACCAAACCGCTGCCATCCCGATGGCAACCGAATAAAACAGAAATTCTCTCAACATCGCACCACCTAACCCACAACGATGTACCTAGTTCCGCGGTGGATTGTTTTAAAGATTCTGCGCCCACCCTGGTTATTTACGGACATGAACATTTAGCATTTTTAACGAAACCCGCCCCTTTTCTGTCGTTCGTTTATTTATTTATTTGCCTCGTCTTTTTCCAGTTCAGCTCGGCGTTGGCAATTTTTTCTCGGCGGTAGAATACAAGGAGATTTGGGAGGGAAAACGGCGATTTGGCTAGCCTACTTTGACGCTTTTATACTGTATTTATTGATTCCTATTTTTTCAATTTTAACCTCCCTGGAAAGTTCGGCGCTGTGTTGTTGTTGGTTTTTAAACTGGCTGATTGATTGGTTGATTGTTTTTGATTGTTTTTATACTTTTGCGGCTCTTTTTGAGTATATTTTTGGCCTGACTCCACTTGGCTTATGAAGCAACAGACAGCAGGGTTGCTTTTGATACAATGTATATGATTTCAACGTTAAAATATCATATCATCCTGGACGGAGATCTCAAATGTTGCTATCTGCAATGGACCATAATCGCTAGTCGAGCAATAGAAATGGCAAAATGTTTTTTTGAACAGCTCCTTTGGTGAAAACGAATCATACAGCTATGCTTATGCCTGGTGATCACTTTGCCCGTGAGAGCAGCCCTCTGGCAACACCCCCCACACCCTCTCCCAGCGGGATTCGGGCCATACATTGTATGCACATGCCACTCTGTCCTCGCCAGTATGAGTGGGTGGGTGGGTGAATGGGTGGTCAGGCCAGGCCAGGCCAGGCCAGGGCCGATCAACGGCCGTCCTTGAAGTTGACCTAGACGTGGGGGACGTTGGAAATCGGCAATGGATGGCACTGATCTTCGGAACCGAAAAGGATAGGAGGGGAATTTTTCCTTGGTTCGGAAATTTCGCGGCGATTTTGGATCGGGGGACGGGCAGTGAGCGAATGGCTGGGTTTGCTAAATCGCTGGATGAAATTTGGGGGAAGAGAGGCCGGGGCCGGGGTTTTTTGTCCCCCCAATCCATCAAGCCAGGGCTTTTTCATGGGATTTCCTGGGATGGGGGTTATCTGGAGGGCTCGATTCTAGTTAACGAACTACAAGCGTACAGAGTAGTAAACCTAGCAGCGGGTAGCATATGCTGGCATTCCAATGACAATTGAGGAACAAGTAGGTATAGAAAAGAGGGCCTAAACTCTATCCATGTTGATGCTTCAGCTTTTGCCGTGGTTGGAATATTTTGATCTTTCATTCTCAACCACTGGTAGTTGACCGAGTCGGCTTTCGGCGTTTTCATTAGTGTTGAGAACCTAAGGATATAGTATAGTCTCCTGCTGAGCAAAATATTGGAGTGTTGAATAGTGACCCATAGATGACTGACTTTCTGGAGGCCGGAAAATTGAAGGATGCATTCCACAGTTCTGTAAAAATAAAAAATAAATAAATGAATAAATAAATACAGTATTTATGTTGGAAAAGTACGGAAGCTCCTGGGCTAGTGGAGCAAGCCACTGGCATTGATCACCCCGGAAGTCCTCTGAAAGCTCACGCCTCTTTAATTAAGAGATAGAACTCCAATACTTGATGCCGATATAGATATTTAAGTTTAAATTCTTCAAAGCCTTTTACAGCACCAGTCTGGAGAGAGTTACGGGGAGAAAACACTGGAGTTGTATCAGTCATGCATTAACAATGCATAGTTACTAGTAACTAGTTAATTAACTGAACACCATGTACAAATAATGTAAGAGGGATTGGATTTGGGTGGCTCGTCCCCTCTATACCACCATAGCGCTGGAGGTGATTGAGGTCTTTTGCCCAAGTGGCCCAATAATAATAAATAACCACCCAGCATTCTGCTCAGGAGAACACTTAACATATTTCACCGCGTTCTCGCTCACAACCACATCCTCATTAGGTGATATTGAACTCTATTTGTAACTAATTGATAGATCACTGAGACAAAAGAGCTTGACTACCAATCATCATCAGTGTCATCTACTGACGGAAGAAATAATGAATCATTAATTATTAACTCAACTACATAATAGAGACTACCAGTTTGAACATCAATACAAATGATTTGTCCAGATATATAGATAGAAAATAGCTTTTCTCCGAGTTCATCCTTGACTCTTGACTAGTAAAGCAGCCAAAATAAGTCTATTTTCACTCATTATTGTTTCTTTTATGTGAGAAGTATGAGGTTGAAGGATGAGTATTTCCCAGCGATTTAATTGGTCGCTGTTACCGTTGAGTGCGATTCAAGCTTTTGCCAAGAAATTGTGAACCAATGATGAACTTTGGCCCCTGTTCAACTCTTAGTCACGTGATTTAATGCCATCTAAAACCCACCCACATTCAACATTATCAATAGTTATTTTAGGGTTCCGCGAACCAACAAAACACTGAAAACACCCGAAATCACCGCGGTAGCAAGGCACTTCACTCCTTACATAATTACAAGCCGAGGTGCACTTCAAAAGCTTGTTCTCTCACCCGTCAGTGGTATGGTAGTCATTTTAGCAGCACTTGTTAGTTAGTACTCCGTACCATTGGACTTGTTACCAGCGCCTATCCTTTCAGAGGGTGTTAAATGGTGCTTTGTCCCGCTAGCATCTCTATATCTAAACCTAAACACATCCTCCCCGTGCTGGAAGCCTATTAACTTTCCACAATCTGAAATATCAGTGCAGGGCAATTTGCAAGGATGAGATCGTTGTACCGCCCAGTTGTACGAACTCTACTCTCAACGTTTTCTTAAGGTCGTGGCACGCACTGAGAAGACTAGCTCTCGTCATGGTTAGAACCACCGTGTTCGACTAGATCGCCAGCAAACAGTGCTCATCAAGCTTGGTCAAAAAGACTGACAATCTTACAGTTGTGTCCACACACTCATCGGCAGAGTCTATCGACTAAATATTCTCCCAAATATAGTCACTAACAATGATTAGCATATTGTTCCATCCATATGAGGAGAAAAACATATTTATAATATCACAGAGGATTGCTAGATCTTAAAGAATATAGAAAAGAAGCTAAAACTCTATCTAACTCTATCCTGTCAAGTTCTAACCATTGTTGATGATCAGCATTGACTGTGGCTTGAAACTTTTAAGTTTCCCATTTCGACCCACCTTCAACTAGCACCCGCTTAAGGTTTAGTATTTGGGATGTTTATGGGAGGCATTGGACAAGCTAAATCACAGAGCTCCATACTCATCATCCAAATCCGTGTAAACCACTGCACAATCAGAATCATCTTCAGTATAAAATGCTTAGAAAAGGAAAATTCGCCAAGCTAAAGTAGGTTAAGTATGCCCATCGAAAGGATTCATCGGTTCCTCTATTCAAAAGCAAAAGCTTAGTTTTACAGACAATCAATTTTATTCAGTAAATTCTTTAGTTAATTTATGAAATCATTTATAAATTATAAATTACAACCATACAAAGGGTAGACAATCTTCTAAATTTTTTTATTTTATTTTATTTATTTATTTTTTTTTTTAAAAAAAATTAAGTTCCTAGTTAAATTCAAATACTTCTGTCAATAGTTGATTCAGGACATCGAATCTCACCCTTAACTATATAAATGCGCCGGGTGCATACATGGTTCGGGCAAAAATTGAACATGGTTCCAATTTTCGGCTGCAGACAGCTTTCAGCCGGTGGCCTCGAACGGCAATCATATACATACAACACAGTCAATTACTAGCTACTTGTGAAGGCTATGTTCCTTTGATATGTCTAGACCCATATCGTATACAGAAGGGTTACCTGGGCGGCCAGCCACGGGAAATTTAGGGGAGGAAGGGCACAGCTGGCAGGAAGTCCCTTTTGGGCCTTGTGATCTAGTAACACTGTATGTATGCCCGCTAGTGCAAAGTCATATCAGACAGCCTCTGATTAATGGCTACACGGTGGATATTTTCCGGGAATAACTTTGTTTGAAGTCATTGTTAGAGAAACCTGGATACACTATAATAAATCAGAGTACTTCATTAATGGATATCTCAACACAATTACCCTGAGTCAGTTTCTCATATATATGAATATTACAACATCTCTATTTATAAATAAGTAAGAATAGATACTAAGAACTCTGTAAACACTCTGTGAAAACATATGACGAATATGTACCACACCTATACTGAAGTATTCGGCAATATCATGTCTCACTGTCGACAAGTTATACTACAGGGGCAAATAGTAAATGGGATTGCAATAAAAGTTTGACGAGTAACATGGTTCTAACATATGCATTTGCAAAAACAACCTATGAGGGATCAGGCATGTTTCTCTGCAATATTCGGACGGATGCCTTTTTTCATTCTGGTTCAGGTTCAGACGTTGGCGCCACTGCCAAAACTTTCCCACCTGACCATGACCACCATGACTTAGTGTATGTAGTTCTGGTTGCTGCCGTTTTAATGCCAAATCCGTAGGGTTAAAACTGTTTTAAAAACACCCTGTACATCCTAAGCAGGCATTACATAAAAACCCACTCATCAAGCATATGATACAGGATAGAATGAATAGCTAAATGCCCCAAGGTTCAGAGGAGTTGCTGAACCAACAGCAATAAAACTCTCATCTGTTCGTCAATGTATGTACAAGTACACGTAACGAGAGGGGGAAAAAACGAAGAAAAAAAAAAAAAAAAAACATAACCTGTTCACTGCGTAACGCTCTCTTCCAATTGCTCTACCGCGTTCCTCAGCTCCCTAATCCTCTGCCCAATCCTCTTCTTAATCTCCTCCCGAACGTCATCCCGGACCTCTTCCGGGTTAAAATTCATACTTCTACCATTCGGCCGTTCTCCGTCTCCCTCCCCTCCCTCCCCTCCCTCCCCAAACACTTTTGCCCCATCTTCCTTTCCTGTCAGTCCCGCGTTGGCAGGTCGCTCAAGACGTGATGGATGCGGTGTAGTGCCTATGTAAGCCGAGTACGCATGGTCGAGGTCGTCAAAAGCTTCGCGCAGGGAAATACGATCGGAGACGGCATAGATGGTCTCGGCAGCTGTAGATTCAGCGGCGATTTCGAGCTGGGAAGATGGGACAAAAAGGAGATACAAATTGTTAGTTCGTTTCGCGGAAACTTGCCAATGTTGTTATATTTATTTTGCGTGGAAATAGTGGTTATATGCGACGTGCCTCGTCTTTTACAATCTCGTATCTGTATTATTTTTTAAGAGGATAATGTCGTCTAGTCAGCTCATTATTTGCTTTCATCCCTAGTAGCGTGTGTCGAAACTATTCTAGTTCGTGGCCAGCGAGGGCCTCGCCGGTTTCTGAGGACAAAGGGAGTTGATGTGTGGAGCAGTGGGGAGTTCGCGGCTGGGGACGGACTGACAAATCTTGGAGTTCTTGGATGTAGTCATCTGCCTTTGGCAGTTCAGTTTGTGATGTGGACGAGAAATCTCTTGTTTGGCGACACGATCGAAGAGACACTGTTGTCAACATTGTAGGGGTTGGAGCAGAGGATAACGAGTAAATCGTTATGCGGGAGGTTCTGCCTGTGTTTCCGCAGGCTCTTGTCGAGTATCGGGGGGCGCCCCGGAAGCAAGGCAAGATAGTGGCAGTACGCCGCATCGCATGAGGGAGAGGCCTCGACATGCCTATCCTACACGCATCCACGCCTTTTGCGATAGATTGTCCTGGCAGATACATCGTGTTGCGATGTTAATTCCTGCTGTATGGTTTCCTGTTTAACGATTGTAGATACGGGGTCAACTGTTGTAGTCCTGTAGACTTCAAAAAGAAAACCCAAATGGCTTATGCCACGTGAAGTAGAAGTTTAAACCGAAGCAAAAAGATCAACAATCCAACGCCAAATAGGAGGTGAGGTCGATGAATGACGTCATATTCCATTTCCAACCTTAATATTTTCAATCACGTGATATATATATATATATAGAAAAAAACCTTTTCCCATGCAAATTGTGGTTGAGAGTGTGTCGATACTGTCACCAATTATCTACTTTGGGCTGAACGGATAATAAATAGTTAATAAGTCATGCGAAGTGGAATCCCATATATGCTAGTCTGAGGATGCTTTTGTGGATTTTTCTATCGATTCCCTTCCTTTCATGGAAGGCTCTTACATTGTCATACCAACGACAGCCGCATCGGCGATGTCATCATGTTCTAGCAACGCGGCCTCCAGCTCAGCCGGTGCAACTTGCAGGGCGTTGATCTTAATGAGTTCCTGATTGAGGCTTAAGTACTTATACAGGAATATTTCATCCAGAGTGTAAATGTGGCATCTATACCTTTGCGATCGACGATCCAAAACCCATCCCCGCGCGCAATGGCGATGTCACTTGTATCTCACTAGGAACATGCATAGCAGCCGAAGTTACCTCGGTCATTCCCCACCCTTGTTGTACTATAACCCCAAGCTTCTGAGATACCTTGTTCTGGAGCTTGCGCGACATGCAAACTCGTTATCTTCTGATCTTGCATGGCCCGCAGGAAAATCCTCACATACAAACTTCTTCATCACGTATACAGGCAACCCGCATTTTCGCTGCCACGAAGATAGTATACATCTGCCCGTACACGTGGTATAATGGTAAAAAAAGAAAAAAAACCAATCCACCGCTCAGGGGGTCCGCCGTGTGCAGAGTAACGCTTCAAGGCTCCACGACGAATAGCCATCGATGCAGAACGCCGGCTATTATGTTCCGGTGGCTCACGCACACTCCCCTCGGTAAGCCTGTGGTGTCTGATGAGTAGTTAAATTTTGTCGCGATGGTCTTTCGATGCCTCATCTCCGTTTAATTCCGGCCATTGATACGAGTGTGACTCTTACACGGTTGCTAGGAGACCTTTAGTCCAGTCCCTCAAACCACTTTTGGATGAGTTTACAGTATCCGAAAACTAGAATAACCGGTCCGGGGAGATATCGGTCTTCTCTGCTGCTGCAATAACAGTGTTAACCAGGGACGGGTGGACCAGGACGATTTTGGCCTCCATGTTACGTAAGAGTTGGGGCATCCGTGACGCTGTCCTAAAAGGACGAGAAGAGTGAGAAAGTAAAATGGGAAATACCAAGCACGGAAATCATCAACTGAAAATATCCAGCAACATACGTACTAGTATGTAAAAGAAAGATAGGACGGGGATTGAAGTAACCAAGACCATTCCATTCTCCGTCCCCTTTTAATATTGAGTTTGCGTGTCTCCACTTGAGATAGGTTTCGCCAGTCAAGTCGGCTTCCGGTCCGAGAGATGCTGAAAAATACTCGCTCGATTGCCGAATGCCGGACTACCCATTTCGTTTTTATCTCAATTGCTTCGTCCTTTGTATTTGTGCATATAGTTATAATATGTTCTGTACTGTACATACATTTACATACTATATAGGCAAAATTATGTTATCCATTGCTGGTAGTTGAGCACATCACAGCAATAAATAATATACTTCATAATAGCAATATGAAAAAAAAAAAAAAATGTGAACGGTTATAATATACTAATGGATTTTCGCACAAATCATAACTATAAAACTTTCTCATCGATCGTAACAGTCGTTCCTTTTTTTTTTTTTTTTTTTTTTTTTTTTTTTTTTTTTTTTTTTTTTTGGGGTTCAAAAAGGGCACATGAAAGAGACAACATAATCTAATATCGCAACAAATTCCCCCTCCCATCATGAATATACCTGGGCGCATCCTTCACACTCGCCAGCGACGGTGAGTTACTATTGTTGCTATTTTTGCTAAGGCGATGATCACGATCATCCGCATTCAAACTCCTCGCCTCGCGCTCCTCTTTCGTCGAACGCCCTTCCTTCCTCTCTTTCCTACACCTGGCCTTGAACGAATTACATTCCGCGCGGTGATGAGCAGCATCCCTCCGCTCGTCAACGGCACTCTTGCTCCCAATCGCTGCTACGGCGATGCTCGCCACGTCTTTCAGGTTATTCTTGGTGCGCTGCCTGCGTGCCTCGTCGGAAATGATCTCGCCTTGGCGGAACTGAGCTTTGCGTTCCTCGCGCTTCTTGAGACTCTTGACGATAGCATGACTCGCATGAACGGTGGCTAGTGTTGGGAACCCGGTGGTGACGATCTCGCGGCGTCGTAGTTTCCTATGAGTGCGTTTTTCCTCGTCGGTGCTGAGGCAGGAGGATTCAGAATCAGTGTCATTGCCATTATTAACACAGAGAGGAATCACGGCACCCCTGTCCCGTAAGGAGGAAAAGGAGGAAGAAGCGGGGTGGGAACCTACATCTCTGGAATAACTGTCGCGGGAATGACTTCGCCGACGTCGCGACCGGTATTTATCAGAGTACCCAATGTCTGAGTCGCTGTCGTCGTCATATCGTTGTCTTCCACGACGTCTGTTACCGTGGCTGGAAGACTGCTTTCCTTCTTCCAGTCCCAATGCAGCAAGGCCTTTGCTCAGATACTCCGAGACGCTCTGGCTTCTCTTCTTGCTCCCCCGGCTACGACGTGATCGGTCCGGGCTGCTGTCATCATCGGAATCATTTGCAGAGCGTCGCTCGCGAGTTCGAGACTTTGAAACGAAATGATCATATGCAGATTTCCCGACAGCTGCCAGAAGTCCGGCGGAAGCGAGCTCTTTTGCCCCGCGGCCTTCTGACCGTGCCCGCCCACGAGATCGAGAGCGGGAACGAGGTCCATTGACCACCCGGTTGGTAGCCAGCCCTGCCAGCGTGGTCTCGATGAGATGGCGTTTACTGTGTTATC